GATCAGGTCCCTGGCGGCAGGCACACGGCTCCTGGGGTCGCCCACGGGGGCCTGGATGGAGGCTCGCTCTGGCGGCTGGCACTGTCCCGCCCTGCCTGCAGTATGCAAATTAGCCGCCACCTTTGTTGGCGGTTAATTTCCATATCTTGCTGATTAGCCAATGGGAGGTGTAGCGAAGGTATCGCAAATTACCATGTTTGGCTATTATTAGGTAGTACTAGAGGCCTGGAGCATGAAATTCGTGCACCATGTGCGGTCCCTAAGCCTGGCCGGCGATCGAAGCGTGAGCGTCTGGCGTGGAAGGGCAGGTCCCAGCTGATCTCTGGGCCATATTTTAAAATGGGAACGTAGAAGTAGATAAAAGACATTATGTAAAATGCAGCTATTAGAGTGTCAGATCAGCACCAAGAATCTTTGTATCAAATTTGAGCTGCAAATAGGACCAATGTCTTTGACAGTCATAGAATGAGGAAAATGCCTTCCATTACGTGATTTTATTTTATTTTTTAAAAAAAATATTTTATTGATTTTTTTACAGAGAGGAAGGGAGAGGGATAGAGAGCCAGAAACATCGATGAGAGAGAAACATCGATCAGCTGCCTCCTGCACACCCCCCACTGGGTATGTGCCCGCAACCAAGGTACATGCCCTTGACCGGAATCGAACCTGGGATCTTTCAGTCTGCAGGCCAACGCTCTATCCACTGAGCCAAACCAGTCAGGGCAACGTGATTTTATAGATTATAAGAAGAGAAACAATATTTGTTCCTGTGGGTTGTAAAGATTCCCTAGGACGTGGAAAGTTTTCTTTAATAAAGCTGACATAATATAGATAGCTCCCGTAATAACAACCAGCAAATCATTGTAATCTATGGCTTAAACTCACTTTTGTAAGTAGTTCTCCTGCCCCGGGAGAACTTGGTGCTTATGATTTTTCCGGGCATCAGCATGTTGTGATGCAGATAGATATGCTTCCATGTTTACCGTTTAATCCAGGGATAAAAGTATTCTCTAGTAAAGATGCCCTCGCTGCCCATTCCCACTTCATTTCTCAGTGTCTTGGCTTTGTCCTTACCATTTTCCTGCATCTGTGGGTAAAGATTAGCAGTGACCTAATTATAGTCAAATCCAGTGGACTTTTTCCAGTTCTTTTCATCAGGTGACCATTCATCTGCCTTTGACGTGAGTTTCTTCCAAACTGTTATTTTCTCCCTTTACCTGACTTTTAAAAAAGTTTACCTGTGAGAATTTCTGTGTGTAACCTTGATCGATAAAGAGTCTGTGAAAAAATGGGTGGAGCCTACCCGATGTGCCCCAGTGGTTGAGTGTTAACCTCTAAACCAGGAGTTCAATGTTCGATTCCCAGTCAGGGCACATGCCCAGGTTGTGGGCTCAATCCCCTGTACAGGGTATGCAGGAGTCAGCCAATCAATGATATTCTCTCATCATTGATGTTTTCCCTTCCTCTCCCTTCCTCTCTGAAATCAATAAAAATATATTTAAAAAAAAAAAAGAGTGGAGATAACCCCAGTACCATTCTTTCT